CATATAAGTATGATCGTCTGTTTAGGCCATGAGCCGTTTTGGACTCAAAGTGGTCTTTCTAATTGGCCCAACATGCCTTGGGTGTTGGGTCATCTTAGTTCAATGCTCTAAAAGGGATTTGGTTTCGCTCTACACTAGTTGACTAAGAATTGGTTTAGATAAGACCTTGTTACCCGAGTCAGACAAACTACGGGGTGAAGTCTAATAAACGATGTTGGATGACCACAAACCAACTATTCGTTTATCACTTCAAAAGAATTCGAAGGTATTTTTTTCTAAAGGACAGTTGTGGAAAGTCACTTAACCGCATTTTTTCCTAATGCAAACTATTTGCCGTTTGGCAGAATCAATGTCATGAATGCAACAATTTATAATTTACAAGAATTGAAACAAGTAAGCAATTAAACAAATAGCCAAATAAGTTAATTTTAAGGTTAGAACCCATTCAATTCCCCAACAGAGTTGACATTCTGTTTTAGTTAAAAAAAATATTAAACTGATTTTTAGAGTCGCCACTTAATTTTTAAAGAAAAATTAAGAAAACTATTTTTTTCCAATAGATCAAAACAGTAAATCTAATGAAAATATTTAAAGGGTTCGAGGTTCATATTAACATCTCGGGAAGGGTTTGAAAGCACCCGAAATGTCCGCTAACACGCGGTTATCCGGTAATTAACTATTTGACTAATTATTCAAAAGAGGCATGCTTAAACAAGTTTGGGAAATTCATAACTTAAAGCTTAAAATTATTTTAAGGGGAAGGAAAATAATATAAGGAATTACTTAAGTAAAATATTTCAAAGTAATGCAAGTAATAAAATAAGTAAAATTATTTTGTCTTTAGGAAATCTCGAAATGACTATCTTTTGGGGAAATCGAATTAGAAAAACCTTAAAATTGAGTAGCAGATAAAATAAAGAGAGAGAGAGTTTTGGGCCCAAGTCTGGTTATGTCCGCCTGAGCCAATATTTGGGCCTAATTTCGTTTTGGGCATTTGGCCCATTTAAATCAGTTGTACCTATCTTAGTCTAACATAAAAGAAATATTATTCTTTTGGGCCTTAGGCCCAATTCTTCCACTTGTCTTAAGAACTAACAAGTAATAATAAGTGAGACAAAACAGCTTAGGCCCAAAGTAACAATATACAACTTTGAAAAATAAAGGTGGGCCCTTTTTTACCCAATTTCTTCCACTCTCCAATCTGCGGCACTTCTGGTTTGGGTTTTTAACCCAATAAGACTAGCTTCCTTTTCACGACCCAGCGGAAAAGGAGAGAATGCAAGGGAATGGGAGTCCAAATGGACTCAAACGGGTGTCACATGTGAAAAGAACAAATGTAAATATTAGTATTCATTTGTGATAAAAAGTTAAACTTATTATTGAAAGATACAAGCAGTCATTATAATCAACCACTTACTAAAATCAACACTTGCTCATTGGAATAGGAAACAACTCGTGATTTATTTAATTTTTTAGACAAGTGAAACATGTATGGATTCGTTATAAGCATAATTTATTCGAGCGGGATTAAATAAAGGCTTTTATGGTAAATTACGTCATGCTTGGACAGAGATCGGTTTTTGGCAAACAAATATGACATGTTCTCAATTTTATCATATAAAGCAACTACCGATGCTAAAAGAACCAAAAGATAACAATTTCACATCAAAACAGGTTAATCACTCATCTAAAAAAATGAACTAAGTAATGCATCAAGCGGAATAGCGAGAAACTAACCACAAAGTCTAACTCAATCAAGGAACACATGAGGGAAATATGGAGAAAGCAAAGGCATGAAAATAATAATCTACTAGAAAAGCATCTTAAAAATCAATGAAGAGGCAAACCGACGAATATTCCCATTTTTAAGATCAAAGTAATACTCCTTGTGGAGCAACAAGTTCTAGGGACAACAAGAAATACAACAACGATTGTGAAACGAGGAATTAAAGATGATAAGAATCTAATAAGCTCATAGAATCATGTTTAAACTAAAACAAGCTCCTCTATGCTTACGGCAAAGTAGTAACGCAATTTAGATGAGAAGAAAATTAAACTAACATGAACATAACAAGAGGCTGAACCTCAAAACGAATATGAAAAGAGAACTTTGAACATCCCACCAACCTCAAAGAAAATACCAAATTACAAGAGCATATGCATCAACCAAGAACAACATTAACTTTAAGCTAAACAAAGGCATGTTTTCAAACCAAAACTAGGGAATTCATGGATAAAAAAATATAAAATCCTTTTTTAAAGTCGCAGCTACTGAAATCGATTAAAAAATATAACCAAAACAGGTTTCTATCAAATTAAACTTGAACAATTATTAACCACATCGAAAACACGAGCAAATGTGTACTATCATGCTAAAGAAGAGAATGTTAGAAAATAAACAAATAATTTGAAAATAGTAACTCTTGGATGAGAGACCGAACCAAACAGGTGACACTTCTTAGATGCACAAATACGAAATCAGATGCTTAACATTTATAGGAACAAGTGTAAGGACTAGAACCGAGATACCCAATACTCTTTAGAACATATTAGATGGGCAACACGAATGAGGTATCAAGAAACCTAGGAGTACTTATAACGAAATATGAACAACAGAAACATTAACAGCTACTAAAATATCCAACTAGAGTCTAGCTTATGAACACTAAAAGAAAGCTAAGAACACCTGAATAGAAAAACATAAAAGAACTACGAGGTAAACAAAACTAGGAAAAAGTTTACATCTTTCCGGGCAGCGAACGAGGGACCACGAGCTAAAGATACCAAGATTCCACCACCACAAGCGTAAACCTCGAAGATTTCGATAAACAAAAAAGGCGAGTGAAAACGAAAAGGATCGAAAAAAGGTCTTCCTTGCTATTTTGATTATATCTCATATATATTTATATTCTTCTATATCTATTTCTCTCTATCTCTATCAGTAGAAAAATCCAACTTTTTTCAACCTTTTTTGTCCAACCCCTAATAATGAAGACAAAAAGAGGTTTATATAGAAGGATATTAGGGCTGAAAAGGGGGGAAATCGGGTAGATTTTTTTTGACATTTTCGAATTCGAAATTCCAATTCTTAGAAGATAAGGCTGCTAGCTTCATTCTTGTACCATCCTTGTAAAATTCTCAATGGAATCTTGAGGAGAGACGTCCGATTTGAAGAGCAAGGACGAAAGGGATGGGAGATTTCGACACCTGTATTCCCTACGAGAGAACGAGGTAGACGCACGCGCAAGGTCGATTTTGCTGGACTGGGCTTGCGATTCTGGGCTGCTCGCGTCTAGAATCGCTGGTTTGCAGAGTTTCTGGGCTTCGATTTCTGGTTCTTCGCAAGGAAGAAGAAACGACGTGGGGCGGGGCCTATGTACTGTACGCGTTACTGATGTATTGGATTGTTGTATGTTGTGGGCTGGTGGGTTGGAAATTGAGTATAGTGAGCTTCTAATGGGTATTAGATTGTTGTTGTATTGTGCAAAAGTTGGGGCTTAATTGATCTGTTTTCAATCTCAAAGTTGAGTCAAAAGCTTGACTAAAAAAGGTTTTAGAGTTGGTCAAAAATGGCTAGAATTGAATTTAAGACTTGGCCACAGGGATTGTGATTATAGCCATTAGCCTAATTAAATTAATTGGTGAATTCAACTAAAAGTTAAATAAGACGAATTAATATAAATCAATTAATGAGCTTCTTAATCTTAATAAAATAAAATAATTAACTTGATTATAAACTAATTAACCTAAAATATAGACTATTGCATAATTAACCAAATCTTTTTTAGACGATGTTCGAATATTTATAAAATATAATAATTAGGCACATAATTATATAAATTATCATATTTATTATTTTAAAATTTATAAAAATGACAAAATTACTTAAAATGACTTGAAAAATATTTTGAATTTTATAAAGTCAATTATTTCAAATCGTTTGAAATTTAAGAAACTCGATGATTAATTTATATTGCGGAATTCAAAATTGGGTGTCAACACAATTAATATCTCTTGTGTGGTTTGTGATTTACTACATAAAAATGACTTTATATAGTTCGCACATGAAGAATAGCAGGGGTGGGTGACCAATAGTGTGAAACTCTATTGTGACCAGAATGTCATAATTCAAAATTAATTACAAAGGCTAGTATTGCACGTTTGGTATTTGAGTTAGTAATAATTTTTTATTTTGATACTTGTAATCAGAGGCGAATCCAGGATTTCAAGAAAACGGATGCACCATTGCTTTAAAGATAAGATCAAAAAAATTATAATAACAATAACTAAGCGAGCAATACATAAAAATTACATTACCACAAAAAATATCATCAGTTTACAATTGTACTCGACGAGACTTCATATTTTGGAAACGAACTATAATAGCATCATTACTTACATTTTCAAATATCTTCTGCTCTATCTTACAAACTAAACAACCATTCAAAAATTCTTTACCAATGCTATTACGTAGATCATTTTTTATGAGCATCGTTGATGAGAATGCTCTTTCCACACTTGTCGTAGCAACAGGAAAAATCAAAGCCAACTTTACAAGTAAATAAACAAGAGACCAAGTTTGATCCAATTTTGTTTGCGCCATCATCGTAGCAAGATCTTTAATCTCCTTCAAGTTGAGGAACTTGCTATCACACTCTCCAGCATAGACAATGAAACTATCAAGCTGATAACTGAGATCTTGAAGTTCATTATCACCAAACTCACTTTTATAATATTCGGCCAACTTCATTATTCTGCTCTTACTAAAATTAACAAATGAATAAACCGGATTCAAACTAGGCATACCAAGGAGTAAGTCACTAGTCACAACATCAAAATGATTATTGAACTCCTGAAGTTGCAAATCAATAACTACATAAAACACTTCCACACGAAAGTGATGTAAATATGAAATTTCGGACTTCTTACGCTTCGATCTTGGATAGTCTTCAGTCATTTCGGGAACCAAAATATCATGTTTACCACAAAATGAAGAAACCTCATCCATCAAAGACTCCAAACCACTCTCTCATTGATTGTAATCTTCTCTTTGAAATATTAAGCAATCCCATAGCATTGACAATATCTTGATCTTTCTTTTGTAAAGCTTTGTTCAATTCATTTGTAAGAAGCAACATCTTGAACATCAAATGCAACACAAAGATAAATTCAAATTCTTGAATTTTATCTAAAAGGTTATATGCCGCATGTTTATCAAGATCATGTGGAGAATCTTCTTTCATATCTTTAAGCACATTAGCAATTGAAGAAAATATAATCATGAAATTCTCCAAGGTCTTGAAATGGGATCCCCAACGAGTATCACCCGGTCGTTTGAGGCCACGTTCTTGATTTAATCCTTGTCCGGTAAGAATTTCTCCAGATTTAAGTAATTCTTCCAACTTCTCAACTTGGTGTTGTCGAAGTAAGTCCCTACATTTAAAAGATGTCCCAATAGTATTCAAAACATTAATGACATCATAAAAGAAAATTTTCACATCCAGATGTTTTTTAGAAAGAGCCACAAGTGTTAATTGCAATTGGTGAGCAAAACAATGAATATAATATGCGGACGAAGCATCTTGCAAAATCAAAGACTTAAGGCCATTTTTATCTCCTTGCATATTACTAGCTCCATCATAACCTTGTCCACGGAGTCTTGATAGGCATAACGAGTGATCCAAAACTAACGAGAAAATTACTTTTTGCAATGATCTTGCAGATGTATCACCCACATGAACAATACCCAAAAGGCTTTCTATCAACTCTCCATTTTTGTTAACATATCGTAAAACTAGTGCCATTTGCTCTTTATGTGAAATGTCATTTGATTCATCAACTAGTATTCCAAAATAATCACCATCCAAGTCTTTGATGATAGCTTTAATTGTTTCTTTAGTACAAGCATCCACAACCTCTTTTTGAATTGTTGAACAAATAATCATATCATTTTTGGAGCATGTTGTAATATCACTTTTTCCACATTCGGACGATTAACCCCATGAAATTTCAAAAGTTCAAGAAAAAGACCTTTGTAATCGAAATCTTCACTCTCATTATGACCATGAAATGACAATCCATTTCTTAGGAGAAATCTTACCACATCGATTGAGGCATTTAAATGAATTCAATAATCACTTTTTGTTTTTTCACTTCGCTTGTGAAGAGAAGATTGAATTGATTGACGTTGACTCGCAAAATCAAGCATCATATTCAAACATTTGTTATGAATACTATTCACCTCACCAACATGCAATCGAATTCTTTCTGGACCATGGTTCCAATTCTTAAAGCCATCTTGTGTAAATGATCCTGCATTACCATGACTTTCAAATTCATTCTTGAAGAAATAACAACACAAACAAAATATAGCATCATCACCTATGCTATATTCCAACCAAGCAGAATTTGGAGCATTAAACCACTCATGATTAAATTGTTGATTCCTAGTTCCAAATGTTGTTTTAGGATATACACGAAGTTTTGGTTGATAAGGCCCCATCAAAATATAATGTCTCTTCACAACATCTCGAATATTAGAATCATACTCAAAGATGGGTTTTCTTTCTCCGGGATCCCGTTTGAGAAATTCAACCCCAAGAATACAATCAACATTTGAACAAGAAGGTGTAATTGTCTCTCCTCGAGCTTCTAGAGCTACATGTGAACTAACAGATGGACCGCTACTAAAACGTGGTTGCTTAATAAAAAATTTATCCATTTAGATATTCAAGGATAAATGTTCCTACAAATTCAAATAACTATTCAACTTAGTCACAAATTTAACTAGCAAATTTAAAATAAAATAAGAGAATCGCATATCTTTCACAATAAAAAATAAGGGAATCACACCCTTGCAAGTTCAAATAAAATAGAGGAATCACAATCCTTGCAAATCTAACTTAAATAGAGGAATCACACCCCTTTCACATTTAACAATAAGAAAATCACACATTCAATATAAAAAGAGGACTTATGCCTCTTTTGCATTCGAAATCACATATTCATAGAAAGAAGAGGAATCACACCCCTTTCACATTTAAAAAAATAAGGGAATCACACCCCTTTCACATTAAAAAAAAAAGAGAATCACACTCCTTTCACATTAAAGAAAAAGGAAATCACACCCTTCAAAATTGATAATATAAAATGAAACACATTCCTTACAAGTTACATCCACAAAATATGTAAGCTTTAGATAATCAATTCTTTAGCTATTGATGATTTCCTATTATAAGTAATGACAAGATTTTTTTATATGAAAACCCTAAAATTAAAGCGATATATATATATATATATATATATATATATTAATTATCTTGTTAGTTTGTTTATTAAAAAGAGAAATCATAAACTAAAATTACCTTAAACTTTGACAATGATGATTTCTCTAGATTCTTGACTTGAAGTTGGAGACTTGAAGCTTTTTCTTTGTGTGAAAAATAAAAAAAAAACAAATTTGAAGGGAGAAGAAAAATATGGTTGGAACTTGGAACTTGAAAAGTGGGTGGGAAGGAAATTTTTTGAAGTCTTTGACTTTTAGAACTTTCAGAATTTAGCTTCTTCTTTTTTTAATGAAAAACACATTTTTTTAAATGAAAAACGTGTTTTTAGTTAATAAAAATAAATTGAAGCGAATTAGGGTTGCCTGGGGTCGAACCTGCGACCTTTGTGTTGAAATCTTGCAGTCGTACCAATGAACCATCCAGCCATCTTGTGAACGGGTTCCACAAGTTTTAATTTAATATAATCTTTAATAATTATAGAAGTAATATATCGAGTTTAGTCGGATAGCCACGGGTTCTGATGACCCAAAATGTATACATAAATTCACCCTGCTTTTAATATATGACTCAGTATATTTTATCTTTTATTAATCAAAATGTTTCTTTTTATATGATATATCATGAAAAAGCTCACTTAGGCAGATTAATGGGTCTTGCAATGACAAGCCCATTACGAAAAGGTCAACCTATTCAAGCGATAATTATGGCTCGCGTCAAAAGCGAATAATAAAGGTTCTCTGACTAAAAATAAGATAGCGCCAGAGATAGAAACGAAACAATAATTTGGAGTTAGCGCATGAGATTTTGAACTTTGAAAGAGATTTGGACCAAGAAGGCAAGAATCAACCCTACTAATTAAGGTATGTTGTTTGTGACAATATGATGTGATAGCAATTCATTTATGTTATATCTCTAATCCTAAAATGTATGTCTTCATTTACATTAGTTCTCCCTATTCTACTTTGGACGGTTTATGTTTAACTGATGGTCTATAAGAAATAACATTCTACCTCTAAGGTAATAGTAAGGTATGCATACATTTTACCCTCTCCAGACCTTACTTAGTGGGATTACACTGAATTTAGAGTGTTATTCCTGATAAAACCCTTCAATGTTGTTTCAGTTATCACTAAACTCTTTATTTATATATTATTATTCAGACCAATTGGGTTTTTCCCCTTTTTTCAGTTATCAACGATTTTAGCTTCTGCATAGTACATGTCTTATTCAGTTATTCTCAGTATGCTTGATATATGTTAGACACAGGGTTAGCTTGGGGTCACTCGTGATCCTAGGTCCCGTGTTACGTTAAGGGGGTAGCCTCTGGGCATGACAATATTCAAGAATTCTTAGGTTGAATGAACCAACAAATACATGTATTCATACCGTAATACAACTTGTATTCTTTGTATTTGTATTCACGGTATCTTTTTGTATTTTTCATATGTGAAATGTGTCATACAGATATCAGTCCAGAAATTGTTTGGCACCATTGTATTGATGTATCAATTCTAACAAATTTTATACAAGTTTTGAAAACAATAATCATCAAATCAAAGTGGCATGATTTAAGGTATTGTCGTTTTATAAAAGTGGATTCTCCCATTTTAAATGTCCTCAAATTTTGATTTGTATACTAGTATACAAAAAAACAAACTTTTTTAACGGGCTTAATTAAAGGTCTGCCAATTCTAAATAATGTTACCCTATTTAGTGCTTTATAATTATAAATGTAATAATGTATTTTAAAAAATAGGCAGACATAGAATACAACTAGATTAAGTTAGAAAGTATAGTCACTTTATGTAAATATCACATTTATGACTATTCCAATTTAATAACCCTAAAACTATAGTCATTTTTGTAAGTTGCTCTTTTGTTGAAAAGAATTGGGCCCCCAAAAATATGGGGGGCCAACCGATGGCTTTAGTGTCATAGTGGTTAAGACGACCCTGAGTTATAGCAATTGGACACCCTTCGTTGGAAAATTATGTTGTACATATAGATGTCAAATTTTACTTTTAAATGATATATATTTAAAGTTGGACACCCTTGACAAAAGTTAAGCCTTTGGTGCAGTGGTAAAGGGTGTCCATTCGAATCAAGTAGTTGTATGTTCAACCACTAGGACCTTAGGGGTCGTTTGGTGTGAGGGATAATACCAAATAGTCCCGGGATTAAATTATAGTACCGCTTATTTTGTTATTTGGTTGGCAAGTACCGGGATAAGTTATCCCTCTCCTTGGGTGGTATAGTAATCCCGGGATAAAATAGGTAAATGACAAAAATGTCTCTTTCAACCCTTTTGTTATATCACTTTTTACATTAATGAAGGGCATTTTTGTAAACAAATAAATTGTTCTAAAAATTTATTATTTTGAATACAACAAACCAAACACTCAATAAAAAATAATCCCAACACAACTTATCCCATCATGACTAATCTCAATATAACTTATCCCAACATAACTTATCCCATCATAACTCATTTTCAAACCAAACGACCCCTTAGTATAGTATAAGTGTCACATAGGCCGAAAAGAGGTAGAAAATTATTTATAAAATAAGTTCGGGCGGGGGGGGGGGGGGGGGGGGGGGGATACTTCTGCATTTTCCCTATAATATATAATATTGTATTCATATATACACGATTTAATTTTTCGACGAAGGGTGTTAGGCCGACCACCCAGGGGAGGATCTATGAAGGGGTGTGGGGGTGCCACGCCACCCCCGAACTTCGACGAAAACTCTATATATACATAGGTGTGTGTATATATATATATATATATATATATATATATATATATACAATATTTATATAAATATAAAGAGTGCCACCCAGAGAACAAAATTGGATTGTGGTGCCATGGTAGGAGGGCAACTTTAGAAGGCTGATGTTGCGGGTTTGAATCCCATTTGTACCTATTTTTTTGAGAAATTTGTTGCAGACATTTTTTAAGAAAAAAAAGGCTCCAAGAACCTTCTTTTAAGGAAAAACAGCTGGCACATTATTTTTTTAATTTTTTTTATAATTGTTATTGATTTAAATTAAATTAATTACATTATTAATCCTTTGACTTTTCTTTTATTTGATTAAATACAAATAAAAGTGTTCTCTTTCTCTTCAACTATTTACAAACCCATCTTCCTCCAAGTTTCAACTTCTCCAAAATTTTCATTGCCCCATTTCGAACCCAAATCACTTGTTGTCGTTGCCGCCCGCTGCCCGTCTTAGCATTCCGTACAGCGGCTAAGCCTCATTTGGGTGTTATTGTTTTCACTTTTCTCCATCCATCCACAACCTTTTATAGATTGTAAGTTTGTAATTCTATTTTTGTAAGATTTTTTTATTTCTATTTCTTGAGTTCTTTTAGTTTTAATGAGTGATGATTGATTTCATAGTAGACAAGAGTTTTGATTTTACTTTGATATTCTAAATTTCTAATGAACATTGTAAGACATTGTTGGTTAAAAATTGTGTGATATGAACCATGTTAATCCGAATTAACTATGACTTACCCTATTAAATTTGAATTAATTGTGAGTTGAATTGAATTTTAATTTTTGTAGGAAAGTGTTCTAGTTTTGTGAATTGAGATGGAGAAGTTTCTTGCGAAATTTAATCATTCTCAAGCAAGTTCTAGAACGAATGTCAATCCTTCTAGTCTTATAAATGACCTTAATTTAGATTCACTTGAAGCCGATCCAGGAAGAAGAGTACCAACTGCTCAATATAACCCTCGAATAAAGGATGAAGTGAGAACACATTATATTCAAAAAGGGCCTTGTCAACCTAAAATGGATTCATATCCTCCAACTGAAATTGGTAAAAGAACGCATCAATTTTGTAAAATTTGGTTTGAATGTCCATATTCTAAATGGTTGGAGTATAGCGTGGAGAAAGTTTATGTCTATTGTCTATGTTGTTATTTATTCAAAGATGACTTTTTCCATGGAAGTACAAGTGAGTTTTACACAAAAATGGGTTTTAGGGAATAGGGCACTTGAAAGATTCCGTAAATATGTTGGTGATATTGATAGTATTCATGACAAATATTTCAACAAGATGCTAGATTTGTCAAATCATCATCAATCAATTCAAGTTGTTATTCATAAGCATTCTCAAAAGTTAAAAAATGAGTATCGAATGTGTTTGGAAGTCTCAATTGATGTGTCAAGACTTCTTTTGCAATATGGATTACCTTTTCGAGGTCACAATGAAAGTGAATCTTCAATTAATCAAGGCTTCTTTCTAGGATTTTTGCGATGGCATGGGGACAAACATCCGGATGTGGGAAAAGTGATATTAGAAAATGTCCAACAAAATGATACTTTGACTTGTCCTATGATTCAAAAAGATACTGCCAATGCTTGTGCAAAGAATCATTGAAAGCAATAATTGGGGACTTGAATGGAGATTACTTTGGTATATTAA